GGACCCAAATCCATACCTATTAGCTAGGAAATCCCTAACCAGGTCCTCTCCGATTGCTCTGCTCCTTTGCTGTGCTTTCTGCCCATGTGCACAAAGCCCAGGATTGGGATATAGGAGTTCCTCATTCTCTGGCCTCACCTCCTCAGAACACAAGCAGCCACCTGCCTGCACACCCTGGTAAGGTTCACTCCCCCACCCCTGTGCCAGCTGTCCCCCACCTCCTCCCTTATTCACTAGGCATTAACCTCCCTGCTCAGCCTGCTGGGAAGAGCACAGTAGAGGAGGAGGAGGAGACAAGCTTACAGGGCCCCCACAAGGCGTTCTGGGTTACTTGAGTACACAGTGTTCTGCGGCCATGACAAAAACAACAAGAAAAACCTGCTCCTACAATCCTTCCAAGCTGGGATTTCAGTAGCAAGTGGTAATGCATCAGCTGGCTACAAACTGCTCCTGAATCAGGGAATGATGCTCTGTACCTAGATCAGGCCTTTTGATTATTATTATTCTATTTTTTTAATCACCAACCATGTTCTTGATGCTGTGTAGGACCTAGTTCCTGCCCCAGAAAGCTGCAACTAAATCACAATGGGAGACTCAGAGGAGCGAGCAAGCTTCCAGAGGATTTTTGGTTGTTTTGATTTTTGATCACATTCTCCTTCTCTAGCATGACACTGTGGCAGTAAAGATCTTTGCCAGAGGTTAGTGTCCAGGGATAAGACTTCAGGAGATATGAATGAAGAAAGAAGAGTGGCTTGGCAAACTAGATTAGAACTAGAACTAGGGGTCACCAAATGAAATTAATAGGCAGCAGGTTTAAAACAAACAAAAGGAAGTATTTCTTCACACAACGCACAGTAAACCTGTGGAACTCCTTGCCAGAGGATGTTGTGAAGGCCAAGACTATAACAGGGTTCAAAAAAGAACTAGATAAATTCATGGAGGATAGGCCCATCAAAGGCTATTAGCCAGGATGGGCAGGGATGGTGTCCCTAGCCTCTGTTTGCCAGGGGTTGGGAATGGGTGACAGGGGATGGATCACTTGATGATTACCTGTTCTGTTCATTCCCTGTGAAGCACCTGGAATTGGCCACTGTCGGAAGACAGGATACTGGGCTAGATGGACCTTTGGTCTGACCCAGTATGGCCATTTTTATGTTATTAGGGAGCTCATTCCACAAGTGGGAAACACCACAGAAGAAGGTAAAGATGGGAGACTGAAATAAATGGGGCATCATTTGCGGAATGAAGGGTGGGGGGACATGATAGGAGATAAAATCCAACTTGTAGGCTAGGCCTAAGAGCTTGTCTACACATATGGCACTGCAGCGGCGCAGCAGCACCGACGAGGCTGTAATGCTTAGTGACGACAGTACTTTTGCCAACAGGAGAGCTTCTCCCATCGGCACAGGTACTCCACCTCCCAGAGAAGAGGCAGCGATGTCAACAGGAGAAGCTCTCCCGTTTACATAGCACTGTCTACACCAGGAGTTCGGTCGGTATAACTGTGTCATGCAGGAGTGTGGATTTTCTGCATTGCTAAGGGGTGCGATGTAGTTATACCACCATAAGTCTGTAGTGTAGACCAGTGGTTCTCAAACTTGGGACGCCGCTTGTTCAGGGAAAGCCCCTGGTGGGCCGGGCCAATTTGTTTACCTGCCGCGTCCACAGGTTCGGCCATCGTAGCTCCCAGTGGTCACGGTTCGCTGCTCCAGGCCAATGGGGGCTGTGGAAAGCGGCAGCCAGTACTTCCCTCGGCCCGCACCGCTTCCTGCAGTTCCCATTGGCCTGGAGCGGTGAACCGCGGCCAGTGGGAGCCGCGATCAGCCAAACCTGCGGATGTGGCAGGTAAACAAACCAGCCCGCCAGGGGCTTTCCCTGAACAAGCGGCAGCCCTAGTTTGAGAATCACTGGTGTAGACCACACCTAAGTTATTCAAGGCCTTAAAGGTGTTAAGTGAGAAGTTTGAACTTTTATGCAGTGGCTGAATGGATGCCAATGGAGGGTTGCAAAGGTAGATAGAGGATGATAGGATCTGATCAATGGGGAAGGAAGAGTATTTTAGCCACTGCGTTTTGGGCAGATTGGCAGGGAGTGATGCAGTCATCAGCTGGTTGCAGCCATCAAGGCAAGATGCAGCCAGGGCATTAGAATGGAAGGGTCACATTTACAAAACATTGAAGAGGAAGAAGCAGTGATATTCGGCAACAGCCTTGTTGTGTGGGAAGAAGGGAAAGGAGGAGTCAAAGGGATTGTGAGCCTAAGTGATGGGCAGGATGGAACAGAGAAAGGAGGAAACGGAAAAACCAAGAAGCTCTATGCTGGTGATGGACCATGTAAGGCCATATATCAGGAGATCCTCTGCAGCACGGGAGTGGGCAGAGGGAAACAGGGCCCATAGATTAGTGAGTGATCAGCCAAGAGATGAGAGTTAAGCTGTACAAATGGATACGGTCACCAAGGAGAAGGTGTAGAGGGGGAAGTCATGGAAAGGGTCCCCAGAATGTTGGTTGAGGGAGGAGAAGGAAGAACCAAGGTGGAGTTTTTAAGGAGAGAAAATTAGACAAATTTACCCTAGTGGCAATGATAAAGGTGCTGTAGAAGATACCAAGAGAGCGACGTGAGCCCTTGTGTCAGCAGCAGGTACTTTTGCTCAGCAGGAGCATGTGCATGTTTGTCTAAACATGGTGACAGAATGCTACCAATTTATAAAGAGCCTTCAAGGCTCAAGATCCAGCCACTCATCCAATAGCAATGCCAGTCACTTTCACACTAACTCCACGTGGACTTGGTGTCCACAGCGCCCAACAACAACCTGCATTTCCAAGATGCCTATGAAGGTTGTGATTGGCTACATAATCAGTGAACCAGGATCAAGTCCCACATGAGACATCTCCCTGAATTTTAAACCCATGTAAACACTGCAGATTCTGTCTGTCTAACAGCCTTACCAGTTAAACCCCTAAAAATTAAGTCTGCAGGGGGACATTTATATCTACAATTTATTATCAGACTAACAGGGACTCCAACTTAGCACAGCAACTTAATGAAAGGAAATCCATGTTTTTCTTGATAAAAGCTTGTGCTATCTAAATCCTGCACATGCCAAAAGGGAATATTACCACAGCACATCTCAGGCTTCTGGGGAACTCAAACGTCATTCAAGATTCACACTCATGGTTACCATAACCCCTTAGTGCAAGCACACATCTGTCTATCCATCTACAGAGGTGAGTTACCCACGTGATATTCACATTCATCTCTGTTTTTCATGTGTGGGGGAATATTTATTCTTTTCTTTTACCCATAACATTTTGCACTATCAGCAGCAGATATCACAGCACCGTACAACCATTCCTCCTGTGACTCTTAGATAATTCCCCCCTCCCCCAATGAAGTTGGTAAACTTTAGCTCCACTTTCCAGATGGGGAAACTCAGGCAGAAAGTGTAGTTAAGCCAGTTAGTTGTGTGAGATCACAAAATGAGTCAGTGGAAGAGCTGGGAACAAATGGCAGAAATCATGACTCCCATTCTCATGCTCTCCCCAACAATCTGTACACCCTAGCAGATTGCTCCCATCAATGGGCATATGAGCTAAATATTGCTAAGTTGCTACAGTAGTTCTGCTGTTTAATTAAAGTCCTGTCTTCCATCTCCACAGGCCACACAGGGGAAACTCCAGCCACAATCCCATTTGGACCTACTCCAGAAATGTCTTCACAAAGCAAACTAACTCTGGGCAAGCACAAGCCATGCCCCCAAACATTTCAGCCTGCTCCTCAAATGCAGGCCCCAGCATGGCTGGGTAATCAGCTGCCATTCGGAAGCCTTTGAAAAGGGTTGTGTTAACCAAAGACCACGTGTTTGGCTGTACAATGCCTGTATTAACAAGGATAGAGGCTGGCAACTACTTTGTTATGTTATAAACCTGTCCCAGTAGGCTCTGCTGCGCACCACCAACGCTCCAAGGCTGCAGATAAACACAAGGCGAATCATGAAAAACAGACGGTGCTCAATGATTCAGTTTCTCTTGGCACGAGCCCCATGATCCCGAAGAGAAGCAACTACGTTGCTGGGGAGAACTGAAAGAATGGCTCCATATGGCAAACATCACTGTCTTCTCATTGGCTAAGCACTACCTAGCCTGCCTGAAACAGTTCCCACGAGGATGGCCATGAAGCAGAAGAGGAAACGAGTGAAACATTCCAATGGGGAGGCAGCAGAAAAACCCCTCGCAACCTGCTGAAACATCATTTGCTCTTCGCAAGCACTCCACAGACTCACAACAGCATATTCTCTTCCTTCACAAACCGACTCCAAATCCACCCGCCTTCCTTTCTATCAGGAACTGGCCAATACACCAAAGAGGCAATTTCATGTATTTTCACCTCCCGCCCCAACATACCCAAACCTGCTTAACGCAGTGCGGCCAACCGGCATTTCCCGTGAGACCTATAAGAAGGGCAAAGGGGGTGAGGTAATATCTTTGAGAGAGAGACAAGCTTTCGAGCTCTGAGTACATTCCCCAGACCTGAAGCAGAGCTCTGTGTAAACTCGAAAGCTCATCTCTCTCACCAACAGAAGGTGGTCCAATAAAAGATATGACCTCAGCCACCTTGTCTCTCTAATATCCTGGGACCAACACAGCTACAACAACACTGCACAAGGGCATTCATTCTTCAGTGTGCAGCAACCGCTGTTCACTGCCAAAGACAGCAGGACCCAAAGCCCCCACCACCAACACACACACACGCTTATTCCCAATAACAGGAACATCTGCAGCCCAGAACAACAAAAGAGAAAGTCTCTATTGCTCTCTAGGGCCAGGCAATGAATAGAAGAGGTAGTAGCACCTTTCCCCTTCAAAGGGCTCTGGTAGTGCCACTGGCTGGTATAGACAGTACCTTTTGTGGAAATAAAACACAACACCTTTCATAATGTGGCATTACAGCCTGGCATTCCTTGAAGGTGCCTCTTGCTGGAGAAAAGCAGCTACACGTACCTTTCATCCCAAACTTGGACCGTCGACCATACTTGTTGATCATAATAAAGAGCACCACCAAGAGGACACAGGCGAAAGCTGCAAGCCCAACCGCTATGGATACCTGCAAGGGACAAATCTGAAAGTTAGGCTAAAGGAACATATGATATCAAAACCAGTTCAGACTTGAAAAGTAGAAGTCTCCTGGCTCAGTCACTCCTGTACACTTACATTCGCTACAGCAGCATGAATGCCTGCTGTGGAGACGAATACATCTGAATGCAAATGGCTTTAATGCAATTTTGAAACTACAAGAGCCTCTTACTGCTACTGGAAAAACAAGAATAATTTCTATATAGATACAATTCTGCTCCAATATCACATTTCCCATATCTCTGAACCCTCGCTCTTTAATCATCAAGTACAGCTGCATGGACTCTTCGCTCCTTAGTATTCCTTAATGCCCTGTTTTTTTTCCCCTTCATAATCTCCATTTGACACATCTTAACCAACTTGTGGTCTCACAACCATAAGGGGATACTAATTTGAGATGGGGAATATGCAGTAGGAGCAGAACAATTCTTTCACAATATCAATTCTGTCTCCATGCAAACAACCCTCAGAAGCAAGAATAAAGGAAGAGAAAAACACAAGAGACAGAAGGTGGTAGAACTCTTTTCCTGAGGCTCCAGCTGCTCCTCTATCAGTAGTAGTGCTAAATATTTATATTATGATAGTATCCAAAGTCCCCCAATTGGGACTGGGGTCCCATTGTGCCAAGCACTGTACAGACGCAGAAGAGAGATCATCCCTGCCCACAAAGGCTTACAACCCAAAGCTCCTTTTTATATTTATTAATATTTATTTCTGCAAATCTTTACCCAAGACACTTTAATTGTGTTGCTGTAAACAAACAGCTTCCTTTCAGGATTTCTTCCGTTTGCATTTGGCCAATTATTCTTACTGCCTTCCCAGGCCTCTTATTGCATTTGGACCTGTGTTCCTCTTACTGTGGTGTGTTCAATAACAGAAGAAAATACAGCATTTAACACAAAGACATTTTATTCCTTTCATCGCTTGATGCTTTTCCCAGTCTTTGATATACTCATGATTTTATTTTTAAAATGTCACATTTTAACAAGTATGATTTTCATTCCCATGTATATATTCTGCATTTCTTTTTTCTACACTCGGTGCTCTTCTCTAGTAATGTCCCATTGTATGAAGCTCTCTCCTCACTCCCCTGAGAATTACAGCTGGGTAAAACATTCAGAAAATTGACAAGGTTTTGTTTATTCTGTCAATACTTTCTGGATTTCAAGATTCTCAAAAACTTGCACAAAATTAGAGCAATTTAATGAAATCCTAATTATTTTCCCAACACTATTGCTCACAACGTTTTTTCCCACTCCTGTCTGGATTCTGTGAAAAGTGAAATTTTGAGGTCTAGCAAACCATGTAAAACGAATTGGCAAAAGTTTCACTTTTTTCAGCCAATGTCATTAAGTCCTAGTGTGACATCACCAAATGCAGCAGGGGGGTTAAAGAAGGGGTGGATGAATCGGTATTGATGAAAATAAACCCAAACTGGATCCATGCTCCTAAACATTCTATTATAGCATGAAACAACTCAATTCATTGATTTATTTGTTATTTTTTCAGACTGTTCTCCCAGAATTTCTGACCCTGCAGGAAATACTTTGTGGGAGACTCTGTCTTCAAGAGATTCACAGCCCAGTTTTGCAAACTCAAGAGGCTCACGTGGTTCATATCAGTATCCCTGCTTATCCATCCCAAACCATTGAACCTTCTGAAGTCTGGCCATCATGAATTGCAAAGAGTAGGATTTTACTTACAAACAACTATCTCAGTATAAAAGCAATGGTGGTGCAAACAGTATACCACCCTATCCATCAGCAACAGCAGAAAATGCTTCCCCTGTACAAAAAGGAGACAGGACTCACCCCAAACGTATCCTCCTCTGGTTTGTGGGTCACAGTGATAGGTGGGGTGGGGCTCACTTCATAGTCACCAACTGGAACCAGAAGAGGAAAGAGGAAACATTCAATTTGTGCCCCCAAGGAATTCCATAGGCCCCAGAACATCCCAACCTTGTGATGTCACACTACATAGCACTGGCTAGCCCAGAGAATGAGGTCTCTTGTCTTCTATTTCAAAGACTCTGAATTCAAGTCTTATTGGGGTTGTAATTTCTCCTGAACTGGCATAGACCAAATGAGCTAATAGGTGTTTTCTACTTAAGATCTCTAGGGTCCTATGTAACTGGGCAGTGAGGAAGCAGAGCCGCGTTACCGATCGGACACAGTGCCACTCCCACCCAGCTAATGAGAAGCAGTCTGATCCCATATGTTCTGTGGGTGAAGGTTCTTCATCCACCCACACGCCTCCCAGCACCAGGGGAAAGCTCGTGGTCCAAGCATCCCTGGAATGCGGATAGCTGCAAGACTGAATCCTGCCAAATTAAAACCAACAAACAATGACTTGAGTGATTTTTTAAATTAAATGCATTTGAATGCTGGCGATTAAAAATCCAGGAGGCAGAAGTCCCCCACCCACAGAACAGGTACAGCACTTACCCTACACACCTGTTCAATGGGCCTCAGCTCTTACTTGGAAAAGTCCTCATTACAATGCAGGGGGGAGGGGTTCCAATATCCAGGACCCAATCAGTCCCTTGGCTTGCACTCAGACTGCCCGAATAAGGGGGTCAAACCAGTGCTTGTTGTGATGTGGACAACTGTTCTGCTAAGAAGGGGACTGAGACCCATCTGCTCATTTCATACAGTTGATTCAATGGCAACTTCTTTGGGGCACCACCTACCTGCACCTAATTTAGATCAGTAACCTCAAGGGGAGAGGTTCCATATTACTTCCCCAAGCCCTGAGCCACATCAGCCCCCACAACACTAGCTCTGAAGACTGCTTTTCCTTTTAGTTTCAGTGGATGAGGCATCTATACCGCTGCCCGGTGGCACCCCAAACTACAGCCAGTACAGGAGTTGCTTGAAGACACATTGGACACATTCACGCCTCTGTGTCATGCTGCAAAGTCACCCATGCTACCAGCACAACACATGCCTCCCTCTCCATTGGTATGGATCCTTCTTCAGGACGCCACTAGGCAGGAATAGACCTGCCCAGGATCTGCAGACTGTACAGCACATAAAAACCTTCCTTAATACACTTGGGCCTGGTCTACACTACGACTTTAATTCGGATTTAGCTGCGTTAATCCGAATTAACCCTTCACCCGTCCACACTACAGAGCCAGTTAATTCGAATTAAAGGGCACTTAAAATCGATTTCTGTACTCCACCTCGATGAGCGGAGCAGCGCCTAAATCGATTTTGTTAATTCGAATTAGGGTTAGTGTGGCCGCACACCACCAAATTACTGTGTTTAAATTAATGGGGTAGTGTGGCCGCACACCACCGAATTAATGTGGTTAAAAACCGAATTAATGTGCTTAGTGTGGCCGCGCACAATCGAATTTATACAACCTGTTTCCCAAATTCGAATTATCTAAATTCGGATTAATCCCGTAGTGTAGACATACCCTTGGGCTCTCACAGAGGAGGAAACAAGTGTCTTGCTTCCCATCTCCTTCTCTAACAATCCCTCCTGCCTAGCGCTAAAGCATTAGATTCCCCCCCAAATGTCATCTGCAAGGTACTTGCATTCAGGAGGGGGGAAAAGGGAACAAATCAAAAGGCAAGAAGGCACTTACTTGAGACAAAGTTATCCGTACTCTCTGTGAAAAGGACAAAGAGAGAAGCAACACAATTAACAGCGCGGTAAAGGGACGGCAGCCCCTCCCATCCAAACACTTCTCAGCCACACTCCCGCATCATCCCAACCAGCCCCGGGAGGCTTGAGGGCTAGTGCCAGCTCACTGACTGCACAGGGAGCAAAGGGAAAACCCTCCTAGGAAGAGCATAGCTGCTTTAAGAGATTTCTCTGTTTAGATCCACGCGGCAGGGCTGAGCAGGATTTGGGGGAGGTGTGGCGAGAGAACAAAGCTTCCCATTTTTTGGCCCATTTGGCTCAAAATAACCTCAGACTGTGTTGAAGGTCAGGATCGGGGTGCACTGGAACAGCTGTGAGGGGGCTTGGGCTGAAATGGGGGTGGGGAGACTGCAAGTTGGGATTCCGGTGGATTGATAAGGCAGAACTGGAAACCTCCCATTTAGGAGCAAGTTGCGGTAGCAGAGCTGTGATGGAGTGATGGCCTCAGGACAGAGGTGTGGCTGGGGTGGGGGAAACGGGCTGCACTCCATTTGCGCCATCCAGTAAAGCAGGCCCTGTCAGTCATTCACCTCAGCAACTTGACCGGTTCACGGTGTCCAGAAAAGCTCCTTCCAAACAAAACAGCTCGTTGGGGCCCCAGGTGACAATGTCTAAAGCTCTCAGTGACAATCAGTTTACACAGCGTGAGAACAACATCAGCTTTCAATGTACTCGCCAGAATAAGAAACTGACCCCGATATTAACAGGATTTTACCCAGCTTTGCTGGCCAAGGGTGCCTGGAATGATGCTGCGGCATTCCCATAAAAGCACGGCAGAGGCTTGGAAGGGAAGCAAATACAGTCCCAGGGTCATACGGGCAGCTCCCAGTGATCTGAAGTTTGGTTCGGTTCATTGGGCTGTGATGGATTAGATCAGTAGTTCTTGACTCCCAGGCGAGTCACTGCATTTTTTTATTTGAGGGGGCTGGAAATTTTCAAGAGACAGCAGCACAGGAGCCAGCAAACAGAGCCGAAACCAGCGGCATTTGCATGGAGATCCCTGTTGGAGGAGAAGGTAGCAAGCCTCTGCTACTGAGGGGCAGGGAGTGAGTTCTTGACAGTGTGATTGCTTGCTTGCAGGTTTGTTTTCAGTTTGCAAAGTCTGGCAGGGGGCAGTGTGTGGGGAGAGAAGCAGAGCCTGTGATCACTGCTGAACATTGATTGAGGGGGCGGGGCTTCCCTAATGAGCAGGCCTATAAAGGCAGCCAGCCAATCGGCCAGCAGCACAGGAGCCAGCAAACAGAGCCAAAAACAGAGGAATCTGTGGACGGGGGCGTGTTTTGGGTTCTTTCTGCACTCTTTTCTTTCTTCTCAGGAGGAAGGCTATGACAGCTACACAGGCAGCTGTAGTAGTGACCCAAAGAATGGAAGAGACAATTAAGATGACTGGATATGGAAGCTATGGGATATACATTATTCTGCCGAGGGTACCCGAAAGGTGCTTCATTTGTATGAAGTGCCATCTGATGCATCTGACGGAGGAGAAGATCCGAGGTTTGGAGAGGCAGCTAGAAACTGTGATGGAGTTTCAAAGGGGATTTGAGCAGATGATGGAGGGAAGGAGAGAGGAGGCTGAAGGGAAACCTCATGACTTGCAAATGCATGCTGGACCAGAGAACTGTGAGGGTACACTTCTGGATAAGGAAAGTGGCCAGCAGAAGCACGTGACTATGAGAACAAGGAGGAGGAAAAGACTGGGTAGCGAAGGAGAAATAGAGCTGAGGAACAGGTTCGCTGAGTTGAAAAATGAAGGGGAGAGGCAGTCAGTAATCAAGGATGGGAAGGCAAGTACGACAAGAAGAGCAGCCAGTCCTACAAGAAGAGGGGAAGAGACAATGAAGACAGCCAGACTTCAGAGACCCAAGAGGATAGAGGATGACTCGCAGGAGACGACAAGTGAGAACAGAAGACAAGAAGACTTGCAGCCAGAAAGAACAGAAGGGGGAAGGCTGGAGAATTGCAACACCATCAGAAGAGGCAGGTTTATGAGATTGGGGACTCCCTACTAAGAAGGACAGACAGACCTGTCACCAGAGCTGATCCAGAAAACACAAGGGTGTGTTGTCTACCATGAGCTAAGAGACAGGATGTGGACCTGAGGTGGAAGAGGATCCTAATGAGAGGACAAAAGAATCCACCAATTGTCCTTCACGTTGGAACAAATGATACTGCTAGATTCTCACTGGGACGCAACAAGGAAGACAGGCTGGGGAAGACATTTAAAGAAATGGAGGCTCAGGTGACCCTCAGGGGGATTCTACCCGTCCCTAGAGGAAGAGGGCAAAGGCGAGACAAGATTATGATGATCAACAGATGGTTCAGACAATGGTGCTATTAGGAGGGCTTTGGGATATTCAACCAGTGGGAGGCATTCACAGGCAGAGGACTGTTCTCATGGGATGGACTCTACCTGAGTAGGGAGGGAAATATGCTTCTGGGATGGAGGTTGGCACAACCGATTAAAAGAGCTTTAAACTAGGAACTTGGGGGAAATGGTTTGGAGCTCATGTAATCTCCGCATCAGATTCTAATACTGAGTGGGAGGAAAACCAAGTAAAAGAGCAATGAAGAAAGGAATAAGAGAGGGTAAGAAAATGGACAACAAGAGGAAAGAGTGCTAAACCACTGGCAGTAACAGTCAGCTATACTGGCAGTAAAATGACTGTATCTAATCCAGCGAGGAATTTGGGTGAAACCAAGCAGAAACAACTAAGATGTCTGTATATCAGTGCAAGGAACCTGGGTAACAAAATGGAGGAACTAGAACTACTGGTGCAGGAAGTGAAACTAGATATCATAAGGTGAATGGCAACATGGTGAAATAGTAGCCATGACTTCAATACAGGTGTTGAAGGGTATGTGCTGTTCAGGAAAGACAGACAGAGGTAAAGGTGGTGGAAAAGCACTGTCTATTAATAACGGGGAAGACTGTAAAGAAATTAGAAGTGATGGAATGCATAAAACTGAATCTGTTTGGGTCAAAATCTCTTTGGGGAAGAAAGGTAACAGAGGCTCCACTGGGATAGTGCTTGGGTCTGCTATGAACACCCAGGATCTGATTTGGATATGGAGAGAGACCACTAATATTTTTAATGAAATAAACAGTACTGGGAATTGTGTCATTATGAGAGATTTTCATTTCCCAGATATAGACTGAAGCACAAGTTTGTAAATGGTAGGGCCCAGATATTCCTGGACATGATATTTCTTCACCAAATACACCTCTACCCTGATATAACGCGACCCGATATAACACAAATTTGGATATAACGCAGTAAAGCAGTGCTCCGGGGGGGCGGCGCTGCACCCTCTGGTGGATCAAAGCAAGTTCGATAAAACACGGTTTCACCTATAACGCGGTAAGATTTTTTGGCTCCCAAGGACAGCGTTATATCGAGGTAGAGGTGTAGTCACTGAACCTACAAGATATGATGCTATTTTAGATTTAGTATTGGTAAGTAGCATGGACCTCATAGGACTCCTGGTTGTAGAGGACAACCTTGATTCGAGTGATCATGAATTAATTCATTTTAGACTAAATGGAAGGATAAACAAAAATAGGTCTGCAACTATCCTTGATTTGAAAAGGGCACACTTTAAAAAGTTAAGGGAATAAGTTAGGGAGATGGACTGAATTGAAGAATTCAAGTGGAGGAGGCTTGGAATTACTTTGAGTAAGGGGAAAAAATTCAAAGGGAAGGATAAAAGACCAAACTGAATGAACAAGCATCTCAAACAGGTTATTAAGAGAAAGCCTACAAGGAATGGAAGAAGTGATGGACAGCAAGGAGAGCTACATCTTGAAAGTCAGAAAGTGTAGGGGGAAAAGTGAGAACTGCCAAAAGCCAAGCAGAGTTGGATCTTGCAAAGGAAATTAAAACCAATAGTAAAAGATTTTTTTTTTTTTTTTTAAGAAAACAAGGAAAGAAGTGAGATCGCTAAGCACTGAGGATGGGGTGCAGATTAAAGATCCTAAAGGTATGGTCCAACACCTAAGCAAATAGTTTGCCTCAGTTTTTAATAAGGATGAGGAGGAGCTTGAGGGCAGTGGCAGGGTAATTAATGGAACAAGTATATGGAAGTAGAAATTAGATGGAAGCCAAACTCAAACAGCTTAATGGGACCAAATTGGGGGACCCAGATAATCTCCATCCAAGAATATTAAAGGAACTGGTACATGAAGTTGCATGGGTTTTTAATGAATCTGTCAACTCAGGGGTTGTACCTTATGACTGGAGAATTGCAAATATAGTACTTATATTTAAGAAATGAAAAGAATGTGATCTGGGAAACTACAGGCCCGTTAGTTTGACCTCAATTGTATGCAAGGTCTTAGAACAAATTATGAAAGAGAGAGTAGTTAAGGACTTAGAGGTGAACAGTAACTGGGATAAAATACAACATTGGCTTTACAAAAGGTAGGTCGTCCCAGACCAACCTAATCTCCTTCTTTGAGAAGATAACCAATTTCCTAGACAAAGGAAATGCAATAGATCTCATCTACTTGCATTTCAGTAAAGCATTTGATACAGTTCCACATGGTTAGATCAGTAGATTAGTTAAATTATTAGTTAAATTGAAGACGATGGGGATTAATACAAGAATCGAAAGGTAGGTAAGAAACTGGTTAATGAGGAGACAACAATGGGTCATGCTGTCAGGCTGAAGGGAAGTTACTAGTGGAGTTTCTCAAGGGTCAGTCTTGGGACCAATCTTATTTAAAATTTTCATTAATGACCGTGGTACAAAAAGTGGGAGTGTGCTAATAAAATTTGTGCATGACACTAAGTTGGGAGATATTGCCAATACGGAGGAGGACCAGATCATCATACAAGAAGATTTAGATGACCTTGAAAACTGGAGTAATAGAAATAGGATGAAACTTAACGGTACAAAGTGCATTTCGGGACTAACAAGAAGAATTTTTGTTATAAGCTGGAGATGTATCAGTTGGAAGTGACAGAGGAGGAGAAAGACCCGGGTGTATTGTCAATCACAGGATGACTATGAGCCACCACTGTAATCCTGCCATGAAAAAGGCTAATTGCAGTCCTAGGATGCATCAGCCAAGGTATTTCCAGCTAGGAAAGTGTTATTACCATTATACAAGGCACTGGTGAGACCTCATCTGGAATACTGTGTGCAGTTCTGGTCTCCCATGTTTAAGAAAGATGAATTTAAACTGGAACAGATGCAGAGAAGGGCTACTATGATGATCAGAGCAATGGAGACCCTACCTTAAGAGAGGAGACTTAAGGAGCTTGGCTTGTTTAGCCTAACAAAATGAAGGATATGGGGTGATACAGTTGCTCTCTATAAATACATCAGAGAGAAAAACACTACAGAGGAACAGGAGTTATTTAAATTAAGGGCCAATTCTGGCAAAAGAACAAATGGACATAAACTGGCCATCCACAAGTTTAGGCTTGAAACTACACAAAAGTTTCAAACCATCAGAGGAGTGACGTTCTGGAACAGCCTTCCAAGGGAAGCAGTGGGGCCAAAAAACCCTAACCTATTTTAAGACTGCATTTGATAAGTTTATGGAGGGGATGGTACAATGAGATTGCCTACAATGGCATATGACCCATCCACAACTGCTATTAGACAATATCTCCAATGGCGAGAGATGGGACAGTAGATGGGGAGGGCTCTGAGTTCCGACTGAGAATTCTTTCCCAGGTGTCTGCCCGGCAGGTCTCGCCTACATGCTCAGGGTCTGATCGCCATATTTGGGGTCAAGACAGAATTTTCCCCCAGGTCAGATTGGCAGAGACCTTGGGATTTTTTTCCTTTTCTTTGCAGCTTTGGACATGGGTCACTTGCTGGTTTGAACTAGAGTAAATGGTGCATTCTCTGTAACTTGAAGTCTTTAAATCAAGATTTGAGGACTGCAGTAACCCAGCCAGAGGTTAGGGGTCTATTTCAAGAATGGGTTGGTGAGGTTCTGTGGCCTGCAATGTGCAGGTCAGACTAGATGATCACGATGGTCCCTTCTGGCCTTAAAGTGTATGAATCTATGAGACTCTAAACTTTAATTTTAAAAAATTCTGCTCCTGGCAGGTTGCAGCAAAAACCTCCCCAGTGTAACTAGCAGCAGTAATGAGGCATGTTGAATGTGCAGCTCCTGACATTTTCTAGAGAAACCAACTTTCAGATGCAAGACTATAAATTTCAGATGCACTGAATGTTAATGTCAGTTTTGGCAATGTACGGACCAGTGATCTTCAAGAAAAGTAAATCATGGACTGATTACATCATGGGCGGGGGCTGCCACAGTGAGAAAGATTCTAGGACACAGGCTCATGGGAGGAAAAAAGGGGATGGGTTTGTAGTGGCAGGTAGAAAAAGGCAGCAAAGCTTTGGATTAGGTCTATCTATAGTCTTTCCTTTTCCAGCACCTTCTATACAAGGATTTCAAAACGCTTTACAAACATTAGCTTATTCTCTCAACATGGTGGCAAGGCTGGAATGAATTTTTAGTGTCAGCTCTTTGGAGCAGCCGAACTGCTTCCTGTTACCTTTGGTAAGTGCCTAGCACATTGCGGATGCATCAGAAACAAAATGTTATTATCCCCATTCTGCAGGCAGGGGAACTGAATCACAGAAATGGGAAGCGACAGAGGTGAGAACATAACCCCTATCTCCTGACTCCCACCCCTGTGCCAGAAACATAGACTGCCCTTCCTCCCAGATAGCAGAAAACCTACATAGATTAAGGAGATAGACATATTACCATCCTTGAATCTTGAATATAATTTTCCCACTCCCTTCTGTATCTGTTCATGTCTTTAGATTGGTCAGCTCTTCAAGGCAGAGATTTTGGTTTCCATTTACTATATCTGACCTGCCGGAAAGCTCTGTGTGCATTGACGGTATGATATAAATAATAAATGAAAATACCATTGGTATTGCTCTATATATAGCAAGTGCCCTATTTTGCTCAGTTTTCCAGGGGCTGCAGGAGCCAACTTGGGGCTGCCACTTTCTCACGGCATCACTCCTGAAAGCAATAGCATGCACCGCTCTGTTAACTCCATGGGGCCTGATCTGGTGATGCAAAAGCAGAAGGCAGTGCAAGAACCCTCCCACTCTTCCACTGCAGTACAGCCACGACAACCCTCTCTAATGCCCACCTTATAACAAGAGCTTAATTTTTCCTTCTACAATTGCGCCACTCACCACCTAGTGACACAGTGAGGAATTTAAAACCATTTCCTGAGAGTGCCTAACAAACAGTTGATACAGAGGAACTGGGGGGATTCACAGTTTTTGTGGGGGCTGTTGCACCAAAAAAAACTGACAGATTTTTTTAAATAAAATATGTAGAATCCTGATGACATTCCATCTAGATTACAGCCATTTTATAGAAGAAGTAAAACGAGATCACCAAGTCCCTCAAAAGGGCTTTCCTCCACACACAACCACTACCCCAGTTATATGCAAATATTCAGTGTCAAAACAATGGGAGTCCACTTTAAGGGGCGTCAGAGTAACCCATGATACACTGCATGCCCTAAGCCCTTCTCTCACGGACAAGTCATGGAGCAAGAACCACCACAAACACTGCAGAATGCAAAGTCAAAAACCAGTCAGTCATCTTCTTTTCCGTCAAATGTTCACCCTTTTTTCCCTTAAGTTGCTGATTAAGATTCCTGTCAAAGAAGAAAGTGGGGTCCCCTGCCATCATATTGCATGGGTTGGGCAAACTTCACAAGCTAATTAGGGTCATGCCTGGTCTGTACGTGGTTGATCAGACCCAAGTGTCCCATCATGATGTTGTGTTGTTGTTCAAGCCGCCATCTTTCAGATGAGACTTGACACAAAGGCCATGACCATTCAAAGCCCCCAAAGACGTCATGGCACCATTTTGCACCAATAGGTATGTTAGCTCTTACGTCATGGCCAGTTTGGATAATTACATCCTCCCTCCCTAAAATCCCCTTAGATTTCAACTGGTTCCACAACTCTTTTTCACACCCGTGTCTAGACTCTTGTGCAATGTTGCTCCATGCTGGTAAACAGTTACTATATTGTGCACCAGAGGGGACTGTATTTTAATGGGAGGTTCAGCGATCCTGGTGCATAGCTTGTATAGCAGCCTGTTAAGTGCTCCAAGATGCAAGGCACTACAGAAACATAAGCTGTGACTCTCTCACCTGGAAAGGGCTTCTCGAGGAAGTGCCCTTTGATGGTCTGGTTGGCTGTCCCCAGCGGGTTGGTGGCCACGAGGGTGTAGTTGCCATTGTTGTAGTGAGTGGGCTTGTTGAAGAGTAGACAGCCCTCAGACACTTCACCCTGCTGATAGAACTCCATGCGGATGATCTCAGTCTCCCTGAGGACCTGGCCATTGTGCAGCCAGTGAAGGCTGGGCGCTGGGTTCCCATGCACCACAAACTCAATGCAATGCTCCAGACGCAGCTCTGGCTCCTCCAGGCTCTGAATGCGTGGCGGATCTAGCATAGAGAAACACAATGCAAACCTGTGGGACTCAAGTAAACTCACATGTTCCAGGCAGAGATGATTGCCTCATCTCCCAGTAGGCAGCCAGCCACCAAAGCGCACTCGAACAGCTAGAAGAAACTCCCATCCCATGGCCGAATTTGCTGTGCATGCAACCTACACGCTACTGCAGCTGCAATGTGAACTGGGATCCTTGTCGTCTGTAAGCAGCAGCCTTACCAGGTGAGCTGGAATGGAGCCTTGCCCAAAGGAACCAAGCCTGGTTTTGGCAGTAGGAGATGACCTGCTGTTATTTAAGAGTCTCGTCCCTTCCCTCTGGACTTGATGACACGAAATCAACTAAGCTTGCCTCAGCTGGGAGTTGCTCTCATAGCATTTCATAGCACTCACATCACACTGGTGCAAGGCCCTTCCCAACACATGTTTGAGGGTTGTTCACATTCATTTTAGTGGGCATGTAACAAGCAGTGCAGGATAGACGGACAGTCAGTCTCAACAGTCAAAATCCTCAATAAAGAAACACGTAACCAGGCTCCGCCCTGCCCTGGATAATGGATACATAATAGGAATTAAAAATGTCCACTGGAACCCCTTACTTTGCAGCCCCACTCCTCCTCACCCCACCAGTTTAATTCCTAAATGGCCCTGCTTCACAGCAGCCTTTGCTCTGGTGTGGAGGACCGAATGGGCTCATGCAGAGCATCAACCTGAAGGGGCACCACTGAGCCACTCTAGCCTCTATAAAGGCAGCACTACAAGCACTGCCAGCTCCATAGGTCTGGGAAACAAGGTCTGAGATCAGATCTCGCATTTGGACCCCTGCAGACCAGCCCAAATTAAGTTTGTAACTCCACTTAGCATGCATATTGTTGTATTCCCCGCCTCACACAATGTCAATGGAGCAGCCTGCTCATGTTAAGTAGGCTTTTGTAGTGCATTGTTATTAATTACACACATGTCTAAAAGGTGCCCCTTGGGGCTCTCTGGTCACATTCAGTAGTTTAGGAATTCTCAGCCATTCAAGCAAATATCCCTCAGGACTTCTGAATGGCTGCATGTCCTTGGGGGCTTTGATTGGTTGAATCTCCCTGGGGGAGCTCTGATTGGTTGAATATCCTCCAGGATTGTTACAATTATAGGGCATGTAGCAGGACAGCAAGCTGGGAGCTCACCTCCATTTAATACATATGGACGGTCCCCTCTCCTGAGAGGCCTCTGAACTGAGGATATCCACGCCTCAAGAATTCAAACTCCGCTCCACCATCGCTGATGAAAACTTAATTACAGCATCACATGTAAGGCCCCAAACACTGAGGCCACAGAGCATGACCAAGGATGGCCCAGTACTGTGGGGCAAGGATCGCGATTTCATAAGATTCTTCTATTCTTTCCTAAGCACTCTCCTTTCCCTGGCTCTCACCCCATACTGAGGGCTGGGGTCATGCCCCCAGGCAGACCCTAACTAACAGGAAAGATCCATCAACTTTCCTCTCTCTTTTTTCTAAAGATGTTCAACGTTTCATGCAGTGGCGGATTAATAATTTTGCCGCCCTGGCCCCGCCCCGACTCCGCCCTTTTCACGCCCCCATCCCAACCCCCCCCCCAAAGTCCCCGCCCCAACTCCGCCCCCTCCCTTCCCCTATTGGATCCCTTCCCCAAATCCCCACCCCTGGCCCCGCCTCTTCCCCCAGCGCGCGGCGTTCCCCCTCCTCCCCCCTCCCTCCCTGCCCCGCGAAACAGCTGTTTCGCGGCACAAGCGCTGGGAGGGGAGAGAAACAGGACGCAGCGGCGCGCTTGCAGAGAAGGCGGAGGTGAGCTGGAGCAGGGGGGCGGGGCGCGGAGGGGAGCTTCTGCCCCTACAAATTTGCCGCCCTAGGCCTAGGCCTTGTCGGCCTAGGCAATAATACGGCGCTGGTTTCATGTTGTGAAAGTGGAGGAACAGCAATGCCAAAGAGAGAGAGGTAGAGCTGGGAGGAGCCGTGCAAGATTCCCCACTCACAACTCAGCCAATGGACCTCAATCCTGAAACACGGCTGCTAACCCAGAGACTGTGCAGAGTCCCACCCAGCGTGTTTCACCTGTAAGCCTCGGTCGGAATTTAGTTCCATATATCTCTGGGTGAATGACTAGGAGGGTACCAAAGCAATTAGTCACCGATACACCAAAATATCAGCTCTTTTCAGAATGATTACATTAGAGCAAGTATGGTACAAACTGGCACTGGCTTGCAGGATTCTGGGCATGAAAATTAGCATCAACATGGTGGCACTTAAAGGGTTTGCAGTAAACGACTCCAGAGTAAAGCACTTTACCGGTCTCCTTCCAGCTGATCAGATCTGGAACTGTATTAATTTAGGCAACCGAAGCCCTCAACCCATCCAAACACACCAAAATTATTTATTTTGGGGGAGACCAGAGAATGATGTACCTTTTATTCTCCTTCCAATATTCTATTGTCTACAGTTCTGCCTCATCTCTACAGGTGCCCAATGATGCCCGCGCTGCATGGGATAACAGGGCATAATTCTCCAGTTTACACAGGTACCAGCAGGGGTGAGGGATGGGGGATTTCCAAACCACAGATTAAGGGCAAATGTTATGGATCCAGCAACACATGGTAAGTCCCGGCTGCCTGAGGCAGCAAAGCTGCGTAAACTCCTGCTAAGGTCTGGTTTTTATTAAGTTATATCAGGAAGCACATGAAAGTTTAGCTCTCTACAGCCTATAAGTAAATTGTTTTAAACCTTGTTTGGCACATGTTTACACAGTGTTCACTGATTAACCTGGTAGGAACAGATCTGGGATGAAATCCTGACTCCACTGTAGTCAATGGCAAAACTTCCATGGATTTCAATGAGGCTAAGGGATGAGTGACTCACTTACAAATGCCGGGAGAAGGTTTTAGCCCCTGCTGGGCACTTCCTCACCCCACTGGATTTTCCAGTGCTGCTTTGTGAATGCAAGTAGCCACTTGAACGTGCCAGTGAGGCATGCAGGCACAGACTCAGCCGTTCAACCCACCAGGTGCCCACTGCACATGTGCAAGTGTGGGACTGGCACACCCACACCGGGAGTATGCCCGTTTCTGCAGGGAAGCTAAAATGGAGAGAAGCTGGAGGACACAGTAATTGGCCCATAATGAAAGCTCTGTACATTTCCTTTTACAGTCCTAGAACTGGTCCCTGCCTCAGTCTCCTGCAGCAATTCTGACTCCGTGTCCACATCCTCCACGGCAGCAAATCAAGATAAGCACAACATAGCCTGGTGACACACAATTCCCCACGGGAGACACATTCAAATAGTTCCCATGCTCACCCTCCCACCAGCCCATGTATAGCCAGCATCTCCCTGCCTCTACTTACAGTAGACCGTGAGCAGCACACTGGCATTGGTCATTCCCACCACGTTCTCAGCAATACACATGAGGAGGAACCCGTTATCCTCACTGGTGACGTTCACCAGGGTCAAATTGATGGCATGAACGTTAGTCCAGTTGAGGTTCGTCTGCAAATCCCCAAAAAGAACAATAAGGACAAAACCAACAAATGATGCCGGCCTGCCCACCTCCTGGGCCCAGGACCAGAAGATCCCAACTCCTGTATGAAATGCCATGGTCTCTAACAACCATGGCCAGGCAGGATTTCAGTTTCATGGCACCACGAGCACCACAGTGCACCCACGCACTTGGTCCAAGGAGGTTATAATCACAGCTTCTGAAACAGTGCTAAGCAGGGTATGTCCCTGCCTCTACTTGCAGTTAAACCACGTTCAGCTGCACCTATTGTTGACACACCATTGTCAGCGACAGATAATTTTGCTCGTGGAGACAGGCTAACATTCAACCAAGGGAACACTGAAGGTGTGAAACGATCAGCCCTGTTTTCCTGCCTGGATTCAATATCTGCACGCCACCCGCTAATACTCTGCTAACCCAGGGTTCCTAATCTGAAGTTGGTGGGGACTATACAATCCATTTCAAACAATCCCTGCATTTCACTTCTCCCCCGTGGTGATCAACACTCATCCAGCCCTATTAAAATGGAATACAAAGGAAATGAAGACCCGGAAAATTCCCACGGCCAGCACCCCAACTGCTGTGTTGTGTGTTAACACCCTGGCGATGGACCTTGGCAAGTGCAGTAAATGCCCAGCCACCCAAGCCCCTGGGCCTCCTACCTGGTGAGTAGTGATGGAGTGCAGATCTGCAACCGTCCAGTCTACGTCTGGCAGCGGCGAGCCTGAGCCATTGCAGGTGATCACCGCGTTCTCACCTTCCCGCACAGTCAGGTTAATGTGGCTGACGCTGATCTCGGGCAGATCTAAGGGAGTCAAACACCAGGACACTTAGGGCACCCTGGCCAGCCAAGGCACTTGGATTCTGATCCCCACGAGCTCCGTCTCCCAGCCAGGCTTCACCTTACAGCAAAGCAGCCGGCACTGTCCGGTGCTTCCGAATGAAGGAAGGGGAGAGGGAAGTACAGGAGGTGGCAAGTAACTTGGCCTTCTCGTGCTGGAAGAGATGAGTGACACAGGGGACATCACCAGGTGGATGGATGGCTCTTCTCTGTGTTTTGCAATTCTGACATTGCACACAAGTCAGGAAGATCAGCCCAAGTGCTAGTTGCCATCCAAACCTATGTCCCTTCTCCCCTTTCCCCCAAGCCCCTGGCACCTGTGTCCTGGGCGGAATAAAGCCGCTTCTAAGGAATCACTGGCAAGAGATCCAGCCTGAGCTAGGACAGGGCACAGAGCTCCTGGCACTTAAGGGGAAGAGAGAGAGTTTCTCTCTAATTTATAACAATCGAGAGAAGATGACCAAGGACGTGTCCTCATATTAACAACATCTCTGCTAATGAAAGACGCCCCTGCTCTTCCCTCTGAGGTGCCAAAGAAATACTGATTTATAGTGGCTCTGACTTACTCCTCTGTCCTGCTGAGTCACCCAGCCACCAAACGCTCACACAGAGTGCCAGAGGCAGTGCCAGCAGCAATACAGAAGGGAGGGTGATACACAGGAGGGTGACTGGACACAGCATGCATAAGGGGGGCATTGAGGGCTGCAGCATGTGTAAAGGGGGGGAGAGAGGGGGCCCTGAATGAACGAGATGGGAATAGAAGGCAACGGGTCAGTGCAATGGCCTCTCTCTTCTGAAGACTTGGGTTCAAACTTTGACCCAGTTCAAAAGTGAATCCAGAGTTATGGGTCTGTTCTTGTTCCTGTGGGATCTCTGAGTCACGAGAGTCTCTAGGAATAGCAAAGGTGCTGCAGGTCAGGACTGAGATGCATTGGCAGAGCTAGGAGGGGAGCCCGAGAGAGCCTGCAATTCACTCTTGAGTAGCGTCAACACAGCAGTGGGAGTTGGGCAGGAGCCTGTATGGTGCCCATATTCTGCCACAAGCCACATATCAAACCTGAACTAGCTGCACCACCTGGCAGGACAGAATGCAAGGATAAGGTAAGCCTCGTTGGAAAATACTTTGAGCCATTTGGATGCTTGCCCACTAAATCTCTGAATGAAAGATTCATCTCGGGAGGAAAGAACTTAGCTGGGCATCTTCTTTTCCTGCCTTCTCTCTATTTTTTTAGGGATCATTAGGGGCTGGGGGGGGTCAGTGGAGCTGCTCACCTGGTAAACCCAGGAGATTTATGTACATAAAACACCCTGTTGTTCTCTCATGTCCAATAGCAGTAGGAGTCCCCTCTCCCCCTTTCCTTGTTCATGGAGGATTTTCTAATCACTGAGGATTATTCTTCTCATTTGTGGAGGAAATTATAGTTCTCTCTCAAATCTCTTTAATTCTCCTACCTGCAGATATTTCAGCCCATTTCCAGGTTTTAATAAAGAAGGGTTAGACTGAAGAGACATTATAAACTTGAAAGTCATATGCCGTATCTCCAGCTGAAAACAGTGTATCTACTGTTGTTACAAGAAACACCCTAACACTCCTAGAATAGAAAGATGCAAAATTTAAAAGAAAATGTTTCTCTTTTTTCCCCAGACTGTTCATTTGACAGCTCCTAGTCTACAGCCTCCTTCACTGCTCCGTTCTTGGTACAGGACCTTCCCTAGGTCCTGCTTGCCAGTACCAGCAGTAGTAGAGCTGAAACTGAAAAGGCAGCAGACTTAAGGGTGAACAAAGGGAAAGTGTTGGGAGAAGGGGCAGCCCAGAGCATGTTTGAGGTTGCTCATGGGCCCCACCCAAAAAGACCAGCAGGGAGCAGAAAAATATACAAGCACGTGCGCACGCACACACACACGTAAAACTTTAAGGATCTGCAATTTTAAATGTGCACCAACTGAAAAAATTATTTTAAAAAAAAATCAAGCTGCCCGTGTAGTTTCTAGTGTCGGTTAAACAGAAGGATAACCACAGGAAGCATATCCGGTCTCGAACAAATGGACAATTCCTGCTGCTTCAGGCTAAGGCATGGACCAACCACAATGCACCTTGCCTGATGATATTATGCCATTGAGGGAATGTCTTCCCAAACACAGCTGATGATTAGCTAATGCTCTGAACCATGAGGAATAATATTCCAAGTTCAACTACAGACACCATTTGTATTCATAAACTATCCTAATCTATTCCCTGTCATTGGGTACTCCTTGTAGGACGGGCAAGGGGAGCAAGGGGCCTCTCCTGGCCTCCTCTCTCTATAGCCTTGGGAGAAAGGTGAACCGGAGCACATATAGGGCTTTCCTTACCACACTGGGTGATGTTCATCTCCTGCAGGGGAATGACAGCAGCCTCCATGTTCATGCAGTACAGCTCCTGTTTCTGCAGGTTTGCTTCACCCTTCTCCTGCCAGAGCTGAATCCAACGGATGTCACAGCTGCAGTTAAAAAGGTTTCTTTCGAGTGTCCTAGAGAGAGAGAGAGAGAGAGAGAGAGAGAGAGAATGTGAGAAGCAAGGGATGGGGTCAAATAAACAGGGTGACCATAGGTTATATGGGATCTCCGCAGAATAGCTACTAATTGTAAAAAGGCAGGGTCCCCCTTGCTACGTGCTGCGAGGCTAAAATGAGTCTCTACAGATCAGGAGAGATTCTGGACTCCTTGGAGCTGCAAGGGGAGAAAAGGAGCATGGGGGTGCAGCCAGTTACTGCACTAGCCTTTTGGCCTTGGAAACCAAGGTTCAAATGCTATCTTGGGGTCACAAAAAAGAACGTTGTAAGCGCTCTCAAGGCCAGACGGATATTTGGCTGGAGGGGGAGAAGGCAAGCAGATATGTTGGCAGAGCTTGAAAGGCAGAGAGTGCAAGGGCTGGAATAACAAAGGATGCCGAGGTTCAGAATGGAATTGCATTGGTGGAAGGGTGTGTGCACACGCATTGGACTGCAATACTACTGGGTTGAGCTAAAGGAGAATCTCGATTCGATGTTAGCCATATGGGGCAGTTGTTCATTTGTATGCACTCTCCAAACACACACACACACACACACACACACACACACACACACCAATTCAGAGATCTGGGTTTCACAGGAGCCCAGACATGTGACATCCATGTAACACATTGGAACGCCCCAGGATTAAATGGTTGTCACAATGCTCCACCTCACTGCCACCTAGCACAACAAAGGACTGTCTCAAAGGAGCAGACGTGACCCCATTCTCCTAAAGAAATACACCTTTACCCCAATATAACGCGACCCGGTATAACACAAATTCGGATATAACGCGGTAAAGCAGCGCTCTGGGGGGGGGGCGAGGCGGGGCTGCGCGCTCCGGCGGATCAAAGCAAGTTGGATATAACGCGGTTTCACCTATAACGTGGTAAGATTTTTTGGCTCCCGAGGACAGCGTTATATTGGCGTAGAGGTGTATTTATGTCTTGTGTCATAAGACCCCAGTGCTTGTGGGGGCAGGACCCTTCTGGGGGGCATTCAGCAGGGTGTGCTCAATAGATGCTGGCAGCTCTTGTCCTTAATACTGCATCTTCGTGTAATAAAACAACGCTGCTGGCTAACACACAGCATACCAGGCATTTTAATTGAATCAAACAGTGCTGTGCTGGGACCCATTGACCCGGCTGGGAGGGAGCTCTGCCTTTAATATACTTCATTTAAAATACACTCACACATATTTTATATACAGATAATTTTATTATTATTGATTTTCCAGCCTACTAGCCATTTTGTTTACATTTCTGAAAAACCCTTGCCATTCCCTTCGGAGACGTGAGGTCACTGGTTCCCACTGGGGGATGTGAACCCAGCCTGGCTTGGCTGGAAGGATGACCACTGGGATAAGAAGAGGGAGCTACTTGAGGATGTAGCATGGAGAAACATGGGAAAGGGTGTGACATCCCAGGGTACAGTCCAGACTAGTGAGGGGCTGTGTCACCCCTGCCCTGTAACCTGGGGTGCTCTTCACAAGGCCGGGCTGCTGTAGCCTCCACCCTGGACTGCTCACAAACAACCTCTAGCGTGTAAGTCACTCCCAGCAATGTCCATGTGTGTGCTGCAGCCAGCCAGCCACACCTGGACTCTTACCAGCCTTGGCTATACTTCAGGATGACCCCAACACACTCCCAGTCCTAGATCTTCCCCCTGAAATACATGTCCTGCACTGCCCAGCCCTTTCCTGGACAGTACAAATATATTAAGTCCATTATTCCTTAAGGGAGCAATATGCCATCTTATTACCTTAAAAAGTTATCCAGACATTTCAACTTGAATACACTGGATTAGATAAAACAGTAAAACAAGTTTATTAACAAGATAGATTTTAAGTGAGTACAAGTAATGAGGCATAAAAGTCAGAAATGGTTACAAGAACAATAAAGATAAAATGCAACCGATGCCTAACTTAACAACCTGTATCAGATTCAAAGCAAAGTTTCCTCACCACATGCTTTCAGCAGTCTTACTGACCAAACTCTTTAGGTCAGGACCCTTCCTCCAGAATCCAACTGCTGCTTCCTTTGTGTTTTCAGGTGCTGTGAATGCGATGGACAGGGAGAGACAGAGGGGTGTCTTGGGGTGTCTGCCCCTTCCTTTATAGTCCTGTCCCCACTTTGAGAAGCATTTCCAGCTGGGAGCAAGGTGACAGGCAGTCTGTGTGCAAGGGAACTCCATGCTATTTCTTTGATAAGATGTAGATTTTTACCCCGCCTCCTTTCCTGCCAAAGAATCGCCACTTAGCATGTAATGGTTCATTAGCCGTGGTGTCTGTGGCTGTGGTGTCTGCTCACCCTTTGTCTCTGAGGAACTGGTCTGACCACTCCCCAGACTTAATCATACTTCTAGTCATGATCTCAGCTTCTGTTTATAACTTCACATATAATAGTATGTGCATTTTGCCATTATATTATTGATCAGCGAATTAGGAGTTTTTAAATGATACCTCACAAGGCAAACCTGGTACAAACATTATTACAATAGCGTGTAGGGTGTGAACACAGGGATATATTCTGTCACAGAGGGTCTTCAGGACTCAGCCAGAGACATGACAGGATTTCCCAACACAGATACAACCAGAAGCCAAGAGAAACCAGGAGGCGTAGGAACTGTGAAGTGCAGACTCAGTCATAAGAAAATGGAAGGGTCCTTTCCAACTCTGAGGTTACGAAAGATTCAGCAAGCCCAAAACACCCCCACCCAGGGATTCTGCATCTTTGTACAACTGCGTACCAGGGGTTGGCCAAGCCAGAGGCCAGTACTCCTCTGCTTTCCTCCATCTTGGTCTGCAAAATTTACATTTTCATTAAAAAAAAAAAAAAAAGCTACATAGCCCCCACCCACACACCGGATTCTGATGCGGTGTACTGCAGGGCTGCTGAAACTCTAAGTGCAAAGAGAGATGGCAAGTTCCCCCTGTTTTCTCAAAAGATCTTGATCCTGAAACCTGGTGATGTCACTTTCCATGTGCACATTGTTCGATATTTTACAGATGATCATTTTGGTGGCCCAACTTGGATGATGGGTGGAATTTCAGGTCTCTCCCTCCCTCTCCCCTCACAAGAATCTACACCCTTCAGAATACAGGTGCAAGAGACTGTCGCACGAGAAAAAAAATCAGGGACCCATCAGTAATCTAGCAGAAAAAGGCTTAGAGAAGACAGACCTGAGATCATCATGACTGTCTCAGGGATTTGGGGGCACATGGCATCCCACACTGCATGACTTAAGCATCCTCCCCCACCACTATGATTATCGCTGGTGCCCAAAATAGGCCTTGAATTCACTTCAGCATGGCTGTAGATCTGGAGTCCTCACTCCCCTCGATACATAGGTACCTTCCATCAGTGTGACAGGATGTCGGCCACGTGCAGGGAGGGGAGATCACATGGTGCTGGCTGAGTAGTGGGACAGCACACGGTTAGGCGTTCTGGTCTTTGCTAATAGCAGGTTTGTTAATGTGAGTTACGTCCTGAGACGCAGCAGAGAGGAGGGGGAGACTAGAAGAGGGGGGGAAATTCTACTTGTCTGGAAACATGGCCCTGAAATCAGGTTGCCTGCGAGAGCCGCCGCCCTCACAGCACTTTCGGGGGCAGATCTGTAAGTAACAGAGTGCAGTTTTCTGGCCCATCGATAATGCATGAAGCCCCATGAATAATACAGGAGCAGCACACTTCAGGGTAGAATTTACTAACAACCTGCCCCAGAGTCAGTGATGTAACTCCCCCTAATCGTGGCCCCCCGGGGAGCTTTTGCACAAATTAACTCCTCTCATCGACTGGATGTGCCGCGTGCCATCAGCAGCTGGCACTTTGCCACTCTGGGGACAGGGCTGCTTTTCAGATACAGCTATTGATTCTCCTTTATTTGTGCTTTTCCCAAAAGCGCTCCTGGCTTTGAACCCCTGCTGCCAGGCCAGCTGATTCACAGGAGGGGGAGATACATTCTCTACGCCACAGACAGGGATTTTGACTCCCATGCTGTTCTGCTCCTGCATCCACCACTCTGTCCGTAGTAATTGAAACACGCTTCTTCCTGCTCACTCAACTCCATGCCAGGCCCTATCAAGCCTCAGGGCTCATGCCTGACCATTACAAACAATGCCACTTAAAAGCAGACTTCCCTTCTGTTCTATTTTCCCACAACCACTGTAGCCCATGGACTGTCTCCTGTAATAGATCTATCATTCCTCTAAGTGCAGAACAGGGAGGTTATCTGACTCCCTTGACATGTGGCAGGCACCCCAGTGGGGTGATATAAACAACCATTTCCCAGTAAGAAAAGGTTGGTAGTTGCCCCACTCAGATACTACAGTGGTAGGATGTGCTGCCAGGTATTCCAGTTAGAACTCAGGCACCAGGCCACCCAGCGTTCCAGTGCTTACCGTTAAGAAGGCAGTACTTGCCGGGAACAGTACTTGAGATTAACAGAGCTTTCTCCCTATGTGCTCAGAGGAAATAGCTCTGGCAATTGCATGGTGCCTATTATATGCTGACTTTTCAATGTCCACCGGGATGCCTAATGTCACAGATACAACTTCAGACCAAGAGACAATTCATTTATGCCAATACTTTTATCAGGCTTTAAGAAGTCAAGAGGATGGAAGGAACTGCAGGGCGTATGTCACAAGAATCATAGACATGCAGGGCTGGAAGGGACCTCAAGACATAATCAAGTCCAGCCTCCCTGTGCTGAGGCAGGACCAAGTACATATAGACCATCTCTGACAGGTGTTTGTCCAACCTATTCTTAAAAGCCTCCAACGATGGGGATTCCACAACCTCCCTGTAGTGAGGCCGAATGGCCTCCCTCCGAGCGGGAGTGCGAGGGTCCACTACACTCCCCTTGGTGGGCGGAGCCTAGCCTGCCCCGCCCCCACCTCACCGGAAGTGCCGGAAGTATAAGAGGAAGGCCCTGCAGCCCAGTTAGGGCGGAATCCTCGGAGGAGGACGCTCCTGCCG